TATTTGAAATAAATCACCCAGTAAATGTGGGGACGCCACAACCACCTTATAATTGCTCAAAATGAAGTATAAGGTTTACAAGAACACCCCAACTCATGCATCATTAGAGATGGGAACACGTTCTTCAGTGTGACTTGAGGCCAAACGCCATGAAACAGAGGAAGCACTTTCTGAGATAACGTGAACTTTGTTTAAGTACAGATACAAGTTTGTGCGAAGTATGACAATAGATCTGGCTTCGGCTTTAGCTTCGCTTTTTCAACACTGATATTCTTCGGGCGAGGATTCAAAAGGATCTTCTAAATCCTTTGTTTTTAATTGACCAATGTCCATACGGAGGATTATTCATTTCAAACGTTCTTCAAACGGTAATGTTCTTTAAAGTTTTGCATGGTGTTGTCAAATAGTCAAACATGTTTGTGATATATCATTTTATATGTATATCATTTTTGACTTGTTGGGTATTGCATTATCACATTCGAAATCTGTAATCTTTTCCAATCTTTGCTTTATCTTGATAGCACCTTTTTCTGCAAAGCTTTGGACTAACTCGAGGTATATCGATCAACGAGATAGATTTAGGTGTTCGTTCTTGTGTGTTGTTGTGTTTGCAAGAAATTACAAACGGCAGACGTTTGGATATGACTTGTAAATATTATATCCAAATTTGAATTTGTGTTTAGATACATAGCCACTTTCCCGATTTACCACTTCAGTTGGTATAGAATAGTTGATGGTGGTGGTCGTAAAAAGGTAGGAAGTTAACGTTAATTAGAAGCGTCAACACGGGTGTAGTTTTGGGATGGCGGTGGAGGTATTTCTTAAATACCTTTGAAATACTTTAATGTGTTCTCTTGGACTATAGGTGAGGGGTTGAATGGGTAGGTGGGATTCGATTGGGTGGGCTTGCAATTCTTTTTCGTACAAAATGGTGGTTGCTCGAATTTTATTAAATGTTAGCCAACTGCCAGTGTTAGATAGTATGGTAACAATGGTGATCGAGGAGGGAAAATTCAGGGAGGTTGGTGCAAAATTTTGCATTGATGATTCCTTCATGGGCTTCGAAAGATACAAGAGTTCCAAATATAAAAATGTTTTCTTGAAACACAATGTTCGCAAATCTTTCTGCTTCACTAATCAACTCTTTGCCACCCGGATATTTCACATGGACATTCATTACTTCATTTGCTAATACAAGACAATGTAATTGGGAACTTCAATAGTGATCGACGTTACCATTTCAACACGTTTTGCTCTCCAGAAACTTTTGTGTTATACATCCAATGCAGTTCCATTATGTGACGTTGAAACTGGACCAGGAAGAAAAATCCGAGCATGTTCTCCAGTGGGATTTAGGTTGAAAACATTTTACCTCTTCATGGACAAAACCTATTGAGTTTATTCGCCAAGAACACACTTTTTGTAGCACGAAAGAGAAAGAGTCAAGGAAGAGTAATAATAAGTTCATATACACGAACAAGAAACTTATCTAATTTAAAACGCAAACAGAAGAACGGACACACAATGTAATATAAATATTAGTTATCAAAAACATAAATTTCAAGAACACAAACCAGAACGCACATTACGTACATGTAGGTAGAGAAAACAAAGTACACGACATACATAATGAAACGTAAGCAACTAGAGGTTTTAATTGATAATAAATGTTCAGATAAAACCGAACTGGACCCAACGAGAATTCTTTGCTGTTCTTTCGAAACACAATCACTTCTCATTGCAATTCAGAATGTCTCTAAAGGCTGTTGAAATAAGTATCTTTCAAATACGCCGGTAAGTAAAATAAGCGGGGGTTTTCTAAAGTATCCCATTTAGAAAGGAAAAAAACTCGTTCAAATTGTTTGTTATTTAAATTTACGAATCCTGCATGAAAGAATCCACATTTGCAGACGTTGGAAAGACATATGGAAACTGTCGTTCCAAGGAACGGTTATATTGTTTTAAAAAAAAACCGCGAATATTCTTTTATGGAAAAGCTCAATCAATGTATTGGCAAAATATTACAATTTTCTGCGCATAACAAAAATGTACCGGAAATGTCTCGGCAAGGTGTCATCGGCTTGTGGGCTTGAGAGCAGAATGATGCACATATAGTTATATCTTGCTTGAACATTACCCACATAACTTCCATACACACGTGAACTCCCAACTCCCAAATACCTGATACCCTCATCAACCCCTAAATACCTGATAAACACATCAACTCTACATTATCCCATACCTACATTATCTTCTCTCAAATACCTCATACCCACATCAAGCCCCAAACACCTCATACCTACATCAACCCCAAAATATACTTGATATCTACATCAACTTCCAAATATACATGATACCTACATCAACTCTCGTTTACGCCGTACCCACAACAAATGAATTCATCTGCCATCCATTATATTTTTATCAATGTTTTACATTTTTACCTGCATACGTACAATTTGTCAAAAAGGTTATAATAGGGATCACTTGCTAATTTAGAAGTAGATATTAGAGCCATGTGTATAATCAAATTTTATTACATATTCTTTCAGGATTTTAGTGATGCTGTTCAAATGGGTGAAATCACGCGGTCGCCCAACTACAAGAAGATGACCGTGAATCTTATGACTGCACTATTTCAAAGGTCAGTTTTGGCTGAATCATCAGTAAATGGAAAGTCTAAAGAAGGGCTACCAGCAATAAATCGCACAAAAGTGGAATTAATCATAGTTTAGGTTGTGCTTTGCTGGGGCCGGTTGTTCGAAAGGCGTTTAGCTTCAACGGTGGATAAGCCAAAGTTTAAAAATACTCTCATAGATCTTGTGAATGAATGAACCTGCATCCTATGCATTTAAAATGTACTTTCATTGAGAATTAAACTATTTACATCGAAATATTTCAGCTCAGTTGCTCAATGAATAGATAATTTTGTTTTCCATTTTTAACTTATACACAGTTTAAGCTAAGCGTCTTTCGAACAACCGGCCACTGGAGCATAGGAGGAAGCTTTGCATATAAAAGATACACAAAAGTTGTTTATATTTTTCTATATTATGTTACTAAAACATTCCGGAGCAGCAATGATTCAAAGTCTACCATGGAACAAAAGTGCAAAAATATCCGAGTATCCATGGGTAACAGAATGAAAAAACCAGAAGAAAAAGAATGAGGATAGTAAAGCATTTAACTTAATAAATTTATTAGTCAATGTATATATTTGTTAATCTCAAGTCTCTAACCTATACTTGATAATGAATTCCCGACATTTTGATGTACTTAATCAATGAAATATAATTTTACTGGTTTTACTTACTGTTGCTTTTACTTGTTACCTGTGTTCAAATTTTTTAGCATTAATGTACGTTAACCACATGAATTAAGTTTTAGTGTTTTGGTCAATCGTTTACATGCCCGATATACCAGTTGGAGGTGAACGCCCTATGAATTAATTGGCAAGTATCGACGCTAAAATCAATAGTATGCGTAATTATTAAGTAATTACTGCTTGATGCTAACACGATCTGAGAACAACAGAATTACGCAACTGGCACTTATAAAAGTCATATATCTAACAAAGAGAAACTCGACAAGGTAAACTAGGAAGAAAATGAGGACGAAAATGAAAGGAATGAAAACACACAGTAGCAAAAACATAGATATGGTATGGCCCACAGACCCAAGCAAAGAAATTTATTCACAAAATACAACCTTTTAGCGACAAATTTCGTATGTGCTTCTTGCATCAACACCCAATACAGACAATTCCTTGGATTTGTTTAGACAAAAAAGATCCCACATCCATATACACGCTAAAGATTGAAAAAAGATTGCCGAAAGACCGATTCACGAAACGAGTGGTGTTACATGATACCGTAATATCATGTAATTATAATTATAATAGCGTTATATGCTTTAATACTAAAACTATGTATTTTATATATTCGATGACCTTTAGTAAACTTGGACTTACGTGCATGAGAGAGCAAATAGTTACATGCACGAGTAAGCAACTAGCTACCCACCCCTTATCCCACAAACGCGTAACAAGGTGTCGACCACAAACCACGATAGCATGTGCTACTGTATTGCGTTGGGGAAATGACTAGTTTTAGTTCTTCCCTTAGCCAAGCGTAAGCACTAGTCTTTAAGGCGTGCACAAGTCTGAGCACAAATCTTTAAGGCGTGCATTATTCATAAGGCATTAGCCTGAATAACATCACGATGAAAAGAAATACCAAGGGACACACGAATATTAAAGAGAGACAAGAAGGCTAATCTATAGAGCCATACACTAGACGATGTTAAATTTAAGCTGACAACATCAACATCAACACACATCAACATGGATTTCCAACTAGATCAGAACTATTCGCTGTTCAAGTTACTGAAGTATGTTACTCAGGCCAGATAAGTTATTATTAAGAAATAGGATAATTTTAATATACTTTAAGTTTAAATTACTATAGTTTTCACTAAAAGTTTAAAAGTGCTCAACATTGTTCTAAATGTTCGAAAGTGAATTGACAGTTTTCAGTGGCGTAGCTACCGGTCCTGCTCGTCCTGAGCTGCATATTGTATTGCCTTTTCTTGCGACGTTTCCGCGTGAGTACACACACTTGAGCGTAGTTTGCATGGTTATTGTCTTTGAGCGAGTGTTTTTGCAATGGCTTCAGCAAGCGTGACAAATCTAGCTTCAACTGAAGCTGATATCATAAATTCTTTGTTAAGAAAATCATTTTCTGTTCGAGCAACCGCGGAACAAAATGTTATTGTTATTGTTAAACTCTAATTTGAGTATTAGTGCGAGAGGGAGATCTTTTCAAATGGCTTGGTATGAAAAGAAGGATTGGCTTTGTGGTAGCACAGAGTTAAAAAGATTATTTTGCTGGCCGTGTCTTTTGTTTTGCCCTGGAAAGTCGCCGACTTAGAGCAAGAATGGTTATAGCGACATGCATGGCTTCCTCTCTGATTGCAAAAAGCATGAAAAGGCGAAGTCACACATGGCTGCTTTGAAGACCTGGAAGACGTACGGTTCCAGTGCTCGAGTGGATTCTCTTATCTCCCAAGCAAGAAGAGACGAGATACAACGCCACAATGAGGAGCTAAGGCAAAACAGAGAAATTTTAAAAACCATAACCGAGGCTGTTTTGTATTTATCCAAACAGGAGTTGGCGTTTAGAGGCCATGATGAATCTGAAGATAGCTTGAACCGCGGTAATTACAGGGAGTTACTCGAGTCCTATGCTAAGTTAGATTCCGTGTTTGAACGATGATTGCATGGCAGACTAGCTGAATCTGGTCAGGGTGGAGATTCACGTTTCACTGGGGTCTCTCCTGAAATACAAAATGATTTAATCTGTTGCCTTGATTCCATTATTGAAGATACTATTTTTAAGGAGATTAACGAGTGTACTTTCATCAGTGTGCAGGTTGATGAAACTTCTGATGTCTCAACTAAAGAACAGGTAAGCATGATAGTCCGTATGGATAAAGGTTGTAAGATAGTAGAAAGACAATTGGGATTTGAAGATGTCAGCACAAAGAGTGATGCTGCTGCCATATCCCAGTTTGTGAAGGATAAGCTTAGTCCCCATTCCAACATCAAGGATAAATTAGTGATGCAAACCTATGATGGTGCTGCTGTTATGTCTGGTCATGTTAGTGGTGTCCAGGTTCGAGTGCGTCAAGAATATCCTTTTGCATACTTTGTTCATTGTGCAGCTCACAGATTAAATTTAGTTTTGTGTCAGTCTGCCTCATCTATAGCCCCTGTTAAAATTTTCTTTGTTGATATAGGAGCGTTTTGTACTTTTACTAGTAATGCCCCTCAAAGAAAAGCCTTTCTTAATTCTCATCAAATAGAGTTCCCCAGCCCTGGTGATACTAGGTGGTACTATCGATCTCGTGTGATAAGTGTCTTGCATAGAAATTACCAGAAACTTCATGACATTTTTCTTGGAGTAGTGGATGAGCCTGGGAGCTGGGATGGAGAATCATTGGGAAAGATATCTGGTTTGCTACATAATATTAGTAGTTTTTTGTTTTGCTTTTTGGTCTGTGTTTTTCAACAGATTTTCCAACAATCATCAATCCTATATGAAATTCTGCAAGGCCAACAAACTGACTTTAATTATGGTATGGTAAGAATTCAGCGTTTTGTAACCTTTGTTTCTTCTCTTCGTAGTGATGATAAATTTTCTGAATTATACCAAGAAGCAGTAGATATATTGGGCCCACCAGAAAGCAGACTTGAGAAAAGACACAACCATAAGCAAATTTATTTTGAGATTATCGACTCCATTGTTAGTATGATGAATGAGAGGTTTCAGGATATGAAACAATATGCATTTTTAGATCTTTTCAATCCAAAAAAATTTGCATCTTGGGGTGGGGTGGTACCACCTGAGAAAATTATTTTACTAAAAGAGATGTACGGGCCCCTTTATGATATCTCCATGCTTGAGAGCCAACTTTCTTTCATTTACAGGGATCAGGATTTTCATAAAGACACATGTAATGAATTACTAACCTATATTTTTAAGTTTAATCTCCAATCTAGTATTCCTGAAGCTGTCAAATTAATGAAAATGAATGTTGTCTTGTCAGTAACTAGTGCTTCTGTTGAAAGATCATTTTCCTGCTTGAAAAGGGTAAAGACCTATTTGAGAAATAGAATGAGTCAAGGGCGCCTTAGTTCTCTTTGTAGGATTTCAATCCATAGAGACATTCTAAAAGAAAAAGAAGATGCCAATGTGCTACATAGTGATGTTGTGGAGAAGTTTGTGGAGAAGCCAAGGAGACTTGCCTTTCTTTACAAATAGTAGACAGGTTAAGTATAAGAGACATTAGCTGTTGAATGTAAGTATAACTATTTCATTACTAGTTCATCCCTGTTAAATGGGTTCAATTTTTATAATTCATTCATCATGACCTTTGTGCACTCTTGCACCTTATTGTAATAGCCTGTTATATAAAATATAAAAACTTTAAAAAATTATTTGTATATACATTTAATTGGTCCAAGGGGAGATATTCACTGCTGGTGTGGTGACCCCATGGGCCATCTGTTCACACTGTATTGAATAGTTACTATTCATTCATTAATTGCTTATGAGCAGTCCTTTGTGCACTCTTGCACCTTTTCACTTCATGTAATATATGTGTTAAAGAAAATATTAAAATCATAAAAATATATTCTTCTAATTGGTTCTAGGGGAGATATCCACAAGTGTGGTGACCCCAATATATAAATAATGGGCCATCCCTGTTCATATTGAATTGAATATTTACTTTAAATTCATGTATGAGCAGTCCTTTGTGCACTTTTGCACCTTTTCATTGTAACCTATGTGTTTAAGAAAGTATTAAAAACATATAAAATCTTATACATTTTTTCTCCTAATGGGGAGATACCCACACTTAAGGGGTGGTGACCCCAATAAATATTCATTCATCATGTATGAGTGGTCTTTTGTGCACCCTTGCATAGTTGCACCTTTTCACTGCAATATACATATGTGTAATGTGTTTAATAGTTCTTAGTGACTTCTTACTTCTTTTGCATTTACTATTCTGTTCATACTGATACTGTATTAGATATTATCTATATTCTTACTTTTCATCATGTTATGAGCAGTCACTAGTGCATTGTGCACTATTGTACGTTTCATTGTTCTCTGTTTCTTCATTCTCGTTAAATGATATTTTGAAAACAAGGTGACATCGTCTTTGTCAATCGTGAGCCAATTTGCGCTAAGTGTGTGTACTTGCAATTTGAAAATAAAACGAGGAGTAATGGGCCATGGCCCATGGCATATTTAGTTGCAGCAATACAGAAATGCAATTATGCAACTCTTTTACTTTCTGGCTATGATGAGCGTTGTCTATTTGACTTCTACAGTGCAAAAGCTTTATTCTCTGAGCCATTTATGGTCTATCAGAGTTGCAGGGTTAGGGCAAATTTTTTTTGATACTGCCCCCAGAACGCCGCAAATGCTGTTTCCAGGCTTCGAGATATAAAAAATTTACTGGGGACCTTCAGACCCCCCTAGGGTGCTCGCACCTTCGGTGCTCGATGAGCAGGACCTTCACCGTGGTGCTGGCTACACCACTGACAGTTTTACAATCCAAAGGAATTCAGAACAAAAGTTTCAACTATTGGTTAAATAGTATTTTACCATTTTTGCCAGCCCACTATTTCATTAATGCACGAAACCCATAAAGGCTATGGTGGGATCAGTGGCGTAGCCAGCCCGACAATTTAGTCATGCTATGCTAATATTTTGGTGTTCATTGACTGTGAAAACAATGAATTTTTAAAGAAATGAATAATGATAATAACATAAAATTTGCATAGCATGACTAAATCGTCAGGCTGGCTACGCCACTGGGTGGGATATCAATGATTCTGGATGAATTAAACTCTTGCTTCTGGACGTTTTCCCGGAGGCGATAATGGAATGGCTGATGGCATTCTCTGTCAACACAAGACCAGAGTTTATCTTGATTGCCGCTATATCGGTTGTGTCAACCTTGATGGGCCCGAAAACGAAATTGAAAATTCGAAACCGTTATCGAGAGCCATGTAATCTATATACCGTTTGTTTGAGCGAACCAGGGGCGGGTAAATCTCAAGCATTCGAGATTGCTGTGGAAAGTCCTATTCGTGTATCGAAGGAGCCAGCGCATTCAATAGTTCTACATGACTTTACGAGGAAAGGACTTTTTCAGCACCTTGTCTCTCACCAGAGTAGATGTAGAAAACAATAGATCTTTATATTCTAAATTAATTTATTTGATTGGTTGGTTAATTAGGTCAGGTGATCGGGTCGGATAAAGTTGCACTCAGTCGGACAACATGTAAATTATGTTGGTTTGTGACTTGTGTTTTGAATAAATAATTATCTAAAAAGCAAAGAGTTCGACGCTTTTTACATGAAACCCGATATGGAACAAGTCAAAAGGTCATAAAGAACACGTGGGTTATATTTAGATGCCTTGCGAACCTAAATGTTCGATCGCGAAATTCAGAAGCACATCGCAGTATAGAAGCTCAATTTGTTCAAAAATGTAAATAAACCGCATGATACATTCGCTTCGTCTTACACTTTGCCTTTGGAATTCGCGCTTATATAGTTATATAGTATTAAATCTTCGATCCTGTGCAAACTACGCGACGTGTCAAAGCGCCCATACACGACCACATCATCTTGTTAAACGGCGAAATAGCAGCGATATTATTAAAATAGGACCGGGTCTACATGTATTAAATATATTCTTACCCCAATTCAATCTAAACTTAATCGAACAGCATAAAAAGAACGGTTTATTTGTTCCTCTTGGAGGAATTGCCGTATCATGCGAGCGAAATCGAATCGCGCATTGGAAAATTAGCCAAAGCTGTGCACCACAACTCTTGGGAGATAAGACTGGGACGTAGATAAATACGGTCACATACACATTTTAAATACTAGTATATTTCGCGCCATTACAGACTTGCGACGACGAAAAATAAAAAAAAAAAAAAACCGGGGCGAATTTTCAACTCCATCGCTGACGCCGGAGTAATTATCACATTTGTCTAAATGTTTGTCTAGACACCAGACACTAGAAGAAACAAATTTTTTAGAAACGAAAGATTTTTTAAAATGCACTCGCCAGAGTGAAAGGTATATAAAGAGTATAAAAGGTTATTCTCGTCGTATGCATGGCCGTACGATAGTTGTATAATAATGTTATATGTATATGTTAGTTGTATAATAATTAATGTCACAAAGTTATATGATAATATGCTTAGAACTGACTTAGCAGATATCGCAAAGCTACACATTAAAGAAATACGATATAATCAGTTAACTTATTTCTAAAGAGAAAACCTCTTGACATGGTGAATCCAGCGAAGGAATCAGGTAGAATGAATGGAACTAAAATTGTGCTTTAGTTTCCGTCGATAAAACCTGTATAGATATATTGATCTAAAAATCAGCTTTCGTTGTGGCGTTTCATTTGAACGGGAAAGTTTGCACATTAAGATATAACCCGCGCCTGCCCTACCCTCTCATCTGCCTGTTAATTACTAACTTGTGTCAGCTAAGCCAGATCAGCTAAGATCATTTAACACCAATTGCTCAACTAATGTTTTATTGTGGGTGTTGACATTGTCGTTTCTCTTGTATCATTTGAGCAAAATATAAAGGATATTGCTTAGGGAAGGATATTTTTTATCAGTGAAGCAAATTGGTTGCAAGGAGTCACTGGTCTCCAAAGCGATGCAGCATTTTGCTTTGCTTTTAAAAACTTCAGCTCAAGAAATTCCGCTGACACCACATTTACCGTAACTGGCTTTAGAAAGTGGACTAATGCTTCAGTTAATTGACACCACGGCCCCCCCATTAGCTGGTAAAATTAACAAAATTTAACGGGGATTTAACGCTATTTAACAACGTGCTATGCCCAAGAGGGCGGTGGAATTAACAATACGTTTGTGTAAACCGGGGAATTAAGCGGGGATTTAACAGCCGTGATAAAATATGCCGGGGACTTAAACCGGGCGTTTAAACAATATGGAGTGGGGCGAGTCAATAAAAACACGAAAATGGCGGCTGAAAACAAGTCTATAAACAGGTATGTGCTTTTGAACTCTTTTTTATGTTTAATCTTTAGCCATCGTTACTTTCAATATTCAAATATTATCAGGCATCGTCCTTTCCATTGTTTGATTCAGATTTGACTCCAAGAACAAAGACATCCTTAAGCCTGGTTTCCATTTAGTCGTAATTGTCGTAAACATGTCATTTTCGCCGATGAGAAATTGTCGGGATGTAAATTCGTTTTCATTCCTGTATTCAAATTTGTCATTGTTGACTGCACACGTATAGAAATATTCTATCACATCAGCCACCTTGACATGTTCACGACACTCACGACTAAATGGAAACCAGGCATTAGAGCTATCAATGCTCTTAATGCAGGTTCAAATACCTACTTGAACTTAAGTGAGCTAGATGTGCTACTGAATACCTTCAGCTGTCTCAACATTAACAGATCTATCCTCGAACTAGAAATCCAAAGAGCTGAAGTTGATTATCGTCTTGGTCTACCAATAAATCCAAACAGGCTTCCGAACTTAACCACTTTCATTGCAGTTAAGAAGACCATCTCGACATCAACCGCTTCAGTGAAAAAATTCCGGGATGAATCGTATCTGCGTGCACGAAGCTACAATCCACCCTTCTTCCAGAGCTTTGCTAGCACACCGATGCACCCCTCTAGGAAAATCTGCACCCCTCCTGTAAGATGAGCATTGATCCATCCCTGCTATATAGATTACTTGTTTACTTTTTTGTTGTTATTTCCTATGTTAATTTTGTTTTATATCATGTTGTCTGTGAGGAAGTTCGAACTTCGTATAATTTTAACGAAAGGACACAAAATTGAAAATAAAACGTTCGTCAACTGCCAGATGTGACTTCTAGGAGTCGGTCACTCTGATGAACACACTTCGTTGGAACATTCATAATACTCACGTTTCGTGGGTCACCAATTTTAGGTGGTTCATCAGAACCTTTAAGGGTAACTATAATGGCGAGTACTTTTATTGTAGATTTTCATCGATGCCTTTCAAAAGAACGATATTCCCTGTTACTTCGTCCACTTTAAAAGAGTGCAGCACATGAACGCCATCAAGACGGCCCGGGCAATAAAATTCCCGCTGGAAGTTTATCCGGAGCCCATAATGGAATGGCTGATGGCATTGGCATTCTTTGTCAACACACGGCCAGAGTTCATCTTGATTGCCGCTATTTCGGTTGTGTCAACTTTG